AGAACTTAAAAAAGTAAAAATTCATTGCAATTATTTGATTTTAATAAAAGGTAATGGCAAAGTGAAAATAGACCTCCATCCTCTGGCAAGAGAAGTTGTATACAAACTGTTTTTTTGTCCCTGCAGGGTTGCCGTCCGCCATGTTAAGGTAAAGCCCAGGTGCGCGGTGTTGACCATGCTAAAGCGGCTGGACAAGATCCGCTTCCGAGGCCCCAGGACGAGAGACGACTTCCCGGACTTGGCGGAGTCACCGCCCGCTTCTGACAACGAATGTAGCGATGACGTGCCGCTGAAGCCCAGGGCAGCTTCACGGGACACAGAGGACCTCCTGCGAGACCCTGTGAGTACTTGCTTTGTATGCATTTGTATGAATGGCCATGGGTGTGTTTGGGTAAGGCTTTTCATATGGCCATATATGCAGTTGCTCACATTTGGGGGAGGAAGAAGAACAGTTAATTGTTTCATTTCCTCTTCTTTCTTTTGCTTTCGCAATCTAGTTCTGTCATTTTATCCATCGCCATGTCACCCTCTTCTTCTGTCACCCTCGCTTCTATTATTTATTTATTATTTATTACACTCACTCAGGTTAACAGTTATCTTGTTTTTTTATCATAATCATGTATACATTTAGCCATGAGTTGCTTAGTCAAGCTCACATAAATGCATCATTATCACAAATATGTCAATAATTATTCTCTCTAAAAAAAGATCTGACTCTGCGTGGCTCCAGCATCATTTTCAGAATATCATAAAAAACTTGAGGGAGGAGAATGTGCAGTACCATCTGTTTCACCTTACTGATGTTTCAGCATCCTTACTAATGATGGCAAATGAATCACAGAAATGTGATTCTTTGTTTTTAATCTAAGCTACACTTTCTGTCTTATACTTTGTGCCATTGAGGAGAGAAGAGGGGAATGATGGATGGATGGCTTGTTATGTTAAAGGAAAGCGGATGAGTTTACAGCGATAAAGATTTTCCAATGGTGGAAACCAGCCACAGACATGAGCAGATATAGCAGTGGTGAGATAGACAGATATTGCATAGCAGGAAGGGAATGAAAAATAGAGGGAAAGAACAGATGAAAGCAGGGAAAGTGATAAAGGGCGCTAGAGGACAGGAGTGTAGCCTCAGAAGAGTGGACTCTGATGTCCAGAAGGGGGAGATGGACAGGATGGAGAGGAAATGCTTAGAAAAGACAAACCCACTCACCCAAAAATCCAGATGAGGTTTTCTGATATTTCTTCCACCCACGCTTGATACTATTAATATTTCATGAAATCTGCAGCTTGCTCTCGTCCTTGTTGATGACTACAAACACCAGCATTGTCATCATCATCATGCACATGCACTGAAGAAGACACCAGATTAAAAAAAACACATCTCAGTTTCATCAGTCCTCTTCTAAAACTGATGCAGCCTTTGTATTTGTGGGTTTTCCTACACTCCATTGAAATCTCCCCACGCCCTGCTGTCAATTCAGTGGTACAGAATGAAATAGAAAAATAAACCACAAAATCTCATCATACCCACAGAAGGATAAAACATTGTATTTGGTTTTACAGCAATAGAAAGACATATTGATGTTGTAAACCCGCAGACTATGGGCATGTGAAGCGCGTGTCTGCATTTGCACGCATGCACTTGAGTTTCCCTCTGCCCACCACAGTGACAGTGAGCTGCTGTTCATATATCTGTATGTGCACTGGTGTTTGGCTGCATGATTATCAGCCCACCGGGAAAGCATCGCCCACATCACGGCAGTGATGAGTCACAATCTGAAGCCCCAAAATAGACCAAGCTAGCTGTTATCCCTGCTGGGACACAAACACACACACACACACACGTAAACATGCACACACACAAAGCATGCTGTTGCATTCAGTATCTCACTGGTGGAAATGTCATCTTTACTGAATAATGCCCTCCATAGATCCCTGGTCCCTTCATAGTAGATGGATGGGCCTTTATAGTCCCACCCATCTTAATTCCATGCCTGTCTCATATATCCAGGATCACATGACCTGGGCCCAAAGCTCACCTTCATTACCTCATCTGTTAACAAGAGGACACGATTTGCCCTTGGGCTGCAGAATACATGAAGTGAGACTTTATGACAAACTAGCTTGTGTCGTCCATACTAAGTAGGTAGAATGTCATCAAGCAGATGGTGTTCAGTCCTTGCACAAACGACTGCATACAACCTGCATCACTTTCCCTGCTGATGAGATGGCTCCCTCACTGTCTTATCATTGTATCCACTATCTAAATTATATTTAAAGAATGCTCTGAAATGATGGATACAGTATTATGCTGCAGGTCAAGACAGCAAAACATTCTCACACATTGATTTCATCAACAGTAATATTAATATTGATAGTTAATGTAATGTAATGGAAACATTTACATTTTATATACATTACAGTCACACATCTCACAAATGCACAATAACAACTCTCTGTATTTGCTTGGGACTGAAGGTCTCCTGAGATATTTGTGTTTATGTGCAGAACGAGGCCTTGAAATAACACCTTCTGTTTTTCACTTGCTCACCAAACCTCATGAGAGAGTTGCAGGCTTAAAAAGCACATGGCTTTTCACAACAGAAGTGTAAGAACATGTAAAAAGCATTTGATGTCCTTGCTAATGTACTGCGGTACACCACATAACCTGTGCACAATGTCCCTCTACAGGCTGAGGATGGTGTTAAATTAATATTCTTGTAAAAATTTAAGGAAACTCAGATTTACCATCCAGCCAACATAAACTGCAACGCAAAATTTAAATCCCTGGAAAAATATGACCTAAAAGCTGAGCATAGACAGAGGAGGAATGGAGTGAGGGGAGAATAAGGATGAAATGAGAAGTAGGAGTGTGAGCAGTATGTTTTGGAGATCAGTCGGTGGAAGTCTTGAGGCAAGAAGCTTCCAAAAACAGAAAAATCCGACTGAGTTCATCAAGCTTATTGCACAGAAGCACTGACAGGATGAGAAGCAGGAGATCACTAAAGAAGAGGAGCGATGCAGAGCACTGTTCACTGAGCTGAGTGTGGAAACTGCAGACAGAGGAGAGACTGAGAAGAATCTTTGAGACACACCAGAAGTATTATTGTTTTGTCTTAAGGAAAAATAGCTTCTTCTCTCATTAGATGTTAATGACCATCAGTGGCTAAACAGCTTAAAAACATAAATCCAAGTCATGTCTTTTGTGGTACACTATTGATTGAATTTCTCTGGGAGTTGTGGGTTGTGGCTTATTTGCAATTTAGATTCACACAGTCCTGTTGCAGAAAATGTGTTTGGCAACATCTGTCCACCTCTGTTCTACACCACACAGAGGAGATTCTTTTCCTGCTCACTGACCTTATGTGCACTTTCAAAAATGACTGAGTGCAGTCAAATTTCATTAAATGGTGACTTTCATTAGTTTGCATACATTTTGTGGTCACATGGGCTCAGTTTTCATTGCATAAAAAATGGTGTTACACTAGAAGAAGTGCTTTTCAACCAGCAGGACAACGTCTCATTCCCCCACGCTCATGAAAGAGGGAGAGGGGGAACACTATAATTAATCAGCCGATAATCTCCCTGGGTGACGTCATGGCTTGACCCACTTTTGAGGAGCAGGCCGCTCTGACTGATTATAAAATTAGGCGCATGAAGTTGTGCTGATTTGACATTTAGTAAAACACAAAGTTGTCAAATTCAAACCAAAGACCAGAGTAGAGCGCACACTCCATCTTTGTCTTCTCTGTCTCTTTCCCTTTCTTTTTTCGTTTCAACCCCTTTCTCCATTCACCTCTCACAAACTCGTCTCTTTTCTCTTCTTCATGACACACTTTCAGAAGAGCCTCTCATTTCTTTTCTTTATTTTGTGACACTCTCCATCTCCTCATCATGGCTGCCTTATTGGTTTGTAGCTTCTTCTCAAAACGCTTTTTCTTTTTGAGGTCTCTCACTCTCTTTTTTCTCGCAGAGAGCACATCAGCCAAAGACATTGCAGTATTCAGACACACACACACACACACACACTATGCTGGTTACAGGCTGGAAGAAGCTGCTGCAGCAGCAGTGTGTGTGTGTGTCTCTTAAAGGACCCTTGCTCTTGTCGAGCACTGATGCTGCTCAACCTGCAGAGCTCATCATCCTGCTAACACTGCCACCTCTCCTCTCGTTCTTTCCTCTTTTCTCCCCCCTCCGTTATCCACTCACCTTTAATTCATACTTTCTCCCTCGTTCCCCTCTCCTCTCACACGGTCGTCATCTCTCTTGCATTTACGCTGTTCACCTACACACACGTTGTGTTGCTAGTTGTGCGTTTGTGTCCGTGCTAAAGCCCTTAGTCAGGGGTGTGTGAGTCATCAGTGTTGCTGTTGTCGGAAGAGAGGGAATATCCTCTTTTTTTTCGTCCTCTGATCTCACTCCTGCTGGACCTAAACCGGGAGAGGAAACATTAACGTGAGTCATGCGCAAGGCTTGTGTGTGCGTGCCTGCCTGCGTGCATGTGTGTTAGATCAGCTGGGATATTCCTGCATGTGCTTGCAATTCTATAACCAAACATGTTTTTCTTTCTTCTCTGTTTGTGAATGCAAATGTTTGTGTGTGCGAATGGGTGTGTGTTTGTGCTGTATGCATAAATGTGTATGCGTGTGTGCATGTGTGTGTGCGCAGGCGGGTTCAGGGTCTCCCACTATGGCTGCTGCCATCCAGGAATTCCAAAGGTCAGAGTCAGACCGACTAAATGAAGTCAAAGGTCACCTGGAAATTGCCTTACTGGAGAAACATTTCTTACGTGAGTACACACACACACACACACACACACACCCACACACACACCCACAGGTGCAGTTTTCCTATCTTTGTGGTTAAACATACTTAGAAGGCTTCAGTAGAGTTTCTAAGGGTTGCCTGTTAAGTATACAGACCAAATGTTTGCTGGAGGACCACTTGGTACGTTTTACCTTTCACTAAGAATTCACTAAGAGTCTGTGTTGTCCAGTGGAGTTCTTCAATTTCCCAGTGTGTCTAATTTTGGTGAGAGATTGTCGTTTTCTACAGAATGCCCCTGGTTAGCTACCAGAGCAAAGCCTTGATCTTGTGTCATTCAGCTCCTTAAGAAGAACACATAGATGGAGAGATTGTTGGCAAGGCTTTTTTCTGCTTCTTCTTATCTTCGGTTAATTTCCCATACAATTTATTCTGCTCTTAAATAGTGAATGAAGGAAGCTTTTCGCTCATGCAAGGAACTTAACTGGGTTGCAGCTGACATGCTGGGACTTCTTGCTGTCTATCTAACTATACGTGTCTTGTGATATCAGTCTGCTTTGTGGTTTCAGTTTGGCAGGAGATGGGTTTTGTGCTTGCTCGTGGTTTCCATGTGCAGCTTGACTCTAACAAAAACTCATTTCGTTCCAGTGCAAACATTTTCAGTGAAAAGCTTAAATTCAAGTGTTTTATTGGGTCTTATCTTTAAAGTGAAGGATTTTTAAGAGTCAACACAGAAAGCTGCATGGACTTAGCTTATCTAATCTGATGTTTACAACTGGCAATGAAGACAGTAACATCCTGTTTCGGTAGTTGTAGGTTAGCAACCCTGAAATTTCAGAGGAAGAGTAATGGAAGCAAGCATCTGCTGAGCACAAGTTCATCAATTTAACATGTTTCACCAGAGGGACTCACATCCATGAAGCAGCAGTGCATCCTCAATTACCCTACAAACCTTTCATTTGCCGTTACATCATGCATGTCCATATCATTTTCATGTCTACAGGGACGGTTATGGCAAAACAATCATACCAACTTATGAATAATACATTAGGATGATGCCAAAATTTCTGAGTTTTTTTAGATAGATTTACATCTTCAATAGGAACCCTAGGCCTCGGCGCAGAGTGTCAAAGAAAGGGATCAGAAGTCAAAACGACAGACAGATTTATGTATTTGATTTTGGACTGAATGACATTTGTATGAAATGAGAGAATAATAATAATACCAGCCTTATACTTTCAACTGCATCTAAATTCACACTGATATTCCTGCTGACCAGTACAAGGTGTCAATAATTAGAATCCTACCCCTACTAAAGATCAGGACTGACACTGTGACCACCTTAAGAACTCCTACAGTTCAACAACCCACTCAAACATAGTACTATATTTACAAGTACCACATAAAGACACTTGAATTTAAAACCAACCAAAACCTTACCAACCACCAATCCTAATGGTTAGAAAGAACTTAAAATATTTCCAGCATCCTGAAGCAATGCATCCCTGTGAAACTGCTGCGTTACGTTTTCGGTGTAGTTTCAGGCTGAACTTGTCAATACTTACAAAATGAATGTAACTGTATAATGACAGAGTCGCTGGTGGAGGAACGACTGGGTGATGCAGAGGGAGGGAGAAAAGAGGGGGAAACGAACTGTATGATGCTCATCCCGAGGTCCACCCCCTCAACTCGCACATAATTCCAGTGCAGTCCGTTGCCAGTCGTGTGGTGGGTAGAGAGAGAGAGTGTGTGTGTGTGTGTGTGTGTGTGTGTGTGTGTGTGTGTNTGTGTGTGTGTGTGTGTGTGTGTGAAAGAGAATACCTCAGGCTATGTGCTCCCTCATAATGCCTGTGCCTGAGTTAAAAGGGCTGAATCCATTGTCACATTGTCAGGCAGCTAGCTAGATGAGACCTTCCCTTCTTCCTGTTTGCCATTTCCTTGCCTCCTCCGGTCTTTCTTCCCTCCCACCTTTTTCTTTTAAAGAATTCCTCCAGGGCTGTCTTTGCCTTTTTCCCTCCATCCCGCTGAGCTGCTCTTTCAGGATCTGCCCGCCATTCTCTCCTCCTCGTCTCTGGATCAGTCTCGATGCTCCCTCTCCTCATTTATCCTCTTCTCCTCCTTTTTCATTCGTTTGATTTCCCTTCCCTTTCCGCTTCCTCTCTGTCAGACACAGCAGTGTCCTGAGGTTCCTCTAAGATCTGACGAACACATGCGTTTGCACACAAAGCAGGTAAAACGGCTGCGACCGTTTCATGAGCTCAAAGAGTTAGGAAGAGAAATGTCATCTTAGTGTTACCTAAGATGGCAGCTGCTTGGCATTTTCTAAGGGGATAAACCCTAATACATTTTGCCTTCTGTTGTTGATTGGGAAAGGGTAGAAGCACCTCTTGGTAATGTTTTTTTTCTTTTCACATTATCTCAGGCTCTTTGTGTGTTTTGCTCCCTGGGATTTCTTGTAGCTGTCTCATGCTTCACCCTGACCATCTCATTTTCTGGTTATCAATTTCTCTCTTGCCTCTCAATCTGCTGTCCAATCTCTACCCGATGCAATTGTACTTCAGGGAACACTGAAGCATGAAAATCCATTAGCACCTAATGGAGTCCTAAGCTCCCTGCACTGCACTCTAGTTACTGTGTATTGCATTTCTACCATTTTCCACTGGCACTGTGCTTTGTGTAGTCATCGTGTAAGAAAACCATGGGCTGTCGAGTACAGCTAACTTCAGAACAACCTACACAAGTGTGCATTCATCGTGTGCTTAGTTATGTGTTGAGACCAGAGGAACACAGACTTAAACACTCATATACAGTTTGTCATTAGCTAGAGCTAATGAGATTATTGGGTGGGGGGGGGACAAAAGATTCCTTGTGGCAAAACTTAATAAGTTTATATGTTGTGTAATGGCTTTATCTGGTAATATAGGAACACAACATACCATTACATGAGATGACTAACCATAGTTTGCTTGAAGGGTGTTATGTAGAACTACAGTGTCGAATTAAAGGGTAGTTCTGCTTTATTTCAGCCTGGCACATTTAACATAAATGTGGCTGTTGTAGTATGGTTAACAACTTTTGCCCTTACCACCTCCACTGTAAGGATCCTGAAATTGGTGCTTGCACAAAACAGCTTGAAGAGATAAATGTGTCTCATGCCTGAAAATATACACAGAAAGGAGTCATGTGGATCAGCCATTATCCTCATATGCATCTACATTCAAATTACCCTACAAATGTCCTTCTCCTTTTAAACATATCTTTTACTCTCAGCTGGTATAGTTCTTTCAACCCATATAGGTGCAGGAGTAGATGCTTGTTATTCTTTGTGGGACAACAGGTGGTCACATAGTATTTTATTTGTTATGATTTGTTTCTTATCACACTTCTTCAGTCCCACTTTGGGTCCGCCCTGTTGTTTTTTTGTCTCTATCTCCTCCATTTGAGATATATATCCCATTCAACAAAGTAGTCCAAGGTGTAATCCGCCATTACGATTAGGTTTTGAGTTTCCTTTAAACACAGCATAACACTGAGTTATTCTCACATTTGAACTCCCCAGTGTTTATATGCAGGTTATTCAGTCAGAGTGATAAGGTCGGCTAGCAGCTTGTAGATTCCTACAAGTTAATTACTTCTGTGTTTATTTTCAGTCATTGTTATAACATTAAAATTATATTTATTGATTGGCTGCACCCTTTCGCCTTCAGTGTGAATGCTCCTGACTGTTCTTTTAGTCACTGCAAAAATGTGACATATATTTTGAGATAAAGAACACGATATCACAACATAATTCCAAATGACAAAATGTTGCTTTCTCTAATGATGTATTAACATTTAACCTAAGAAATCATTTGTGCTTCTTGGATTTCTTGTTCACTTACAGTATAATGAGTCGAGGCATTTTCATACTCTCTCTTTCTGTCTCTCTCCCTCCCTCTGACTTTTTCCTTTCTGCGGCCTAAAATAAATCTGGGGCCCACACATATGCTAAAACAAACACACTGCTTAAGTATATTGTCTCCTGCCTTCACAGGAGGCGTGACTTTCCATTCCAGATGGTGTGTGAGTGTTTGTGTCTCTATTTGTGTGTGTGTATTTTGGGTTTGGTGTGGATACACTGACCCATGTCTTTTCTTTTGGCTTCTGTCGTGATTGTCCCATGCTATTCTGAAGGCTCTTTATTGGTTAATTTGTAACAATGAACGGGAGCACACACAGAAGGGGCCTCACACACACACACACACACACACACACACACACACACACACACACACACACACACACACACACACACACACACACACTCTCTCTCTCTCTCAGCAGTGGTAGTGATTCCCTTCTGCCATGTCACCTCCTTCCTGGCTTCTCTTTTCCTTTTCTGTTCTCATTTATTCCCTTCCTCTAATCTACTCCCTTCAGTCATTTCTTTCTTCCCCTTGGGTCGTGAGTGTGCACACACACACCCCATAACAAACTAATCTCATTCGTTTAAAGGGCCAACAGTGTGTTCTCTCTTTCTTATTTTCTTCATTAAGAATTCATGCATAAATATTGATATTCACCTCAATGTACCTTGTTCAAATGAATTGTTGCAGTTATTTGAGTGTTGGTTCACTCAAATCATTAAAAAACACATTTTATTACATACCCTTATTGTTGTTGTAATTTTGGTCAAAATATCAATTTAATATAATATAGTATATATCCCACCCATGTCAGCAGCCTGTTGAGACAACCATGAAGCTTTTGCCGTCACTTTTGCTGTGCACGTTCATATGAAAAGCATGCATACAGATCAACACTGGCCCTGCTCTTTAAGAATGCACTGTGTGCTGTCATCCCCCTGCTCCCCCAACCGATAAGCTCCTAAGGTTAATCATCTGGATATACCCTCCCAAGTAATATTCCCACGAGATTGGTGAAATCCGGTCATGTGTAGATGAGTTATTTTGTAAACACAGACGGGGTGAAAACAATATCCTGGCTATGCTGGTGCTCAGGGTAATAATCATTCAGTCAAACATT